GGGGGTACGGGCGCGGTGGGCGGCGGCGGATCCGGCCAGGCCTCGGCGGGGGCGGGCACGGGCGCGCCGGGGGCCGGCGGGAGCGGAGGCCCCATCAACCCGGCCTCACTAGCCCCCGGCGACCCGCAGCTCATCGCTCTCATCGTGGAGCAGCTCAAGAGCCGGGGCCTGTTTGACAGCTTCCGCCGGGACTGCCTGGCCGACGTGGACACCAAGGTACTGAGGCCGCCTGGGCGGAAGAGGATCGCGCCGGGCATGAGGCCGCCGGGGCCGCCACCTTGCTTTCCCGAAGCGGAGAGGAAAACACAAAAAGATACCTTTAAAAATCTCAGCAGGGAGGTCGGACCGCTTGGGGCAGTCGCGGGGAGCTTCCTGAGCGACGCCCACGTGGGTTGCGCTCCCCGCGCCGGCACGACTCGCCGTCCAGTTTAGCCCAGTCGCTTCTGTGAACTTGGGGTTTCAATACTGGCTTTAGAGCCTACCCCCCATCTTTCCCGGGATGGGATTCCTTTAAGCCTCTCAGTAGCAAACCTCCATATGGTAAGAGTAGTGGAGAAAGCCAGGTAAGTCGGCGAGCATGGTCTGAACGCAGTCATCAATATTGTAGTCACTTGTTCCTTTTTTTTTCCCCCCCTCTAGCTCCGCGATTTGCAGACTTGCGAATGCGGTTGAACTAAGGTACATTGTACAGCCAGCACCCTTATTTTGTGCTCCGTGACTGATTGAAGGGGATGTGGTGCCTGTTTCAGATCCTAATGCCGTAACCCAGGTCAACCCACCCCCAGTAAAATGCTAGTAATACTTCACTTGACCTAGTTGCCAAGGTTGTTTGCATTCAGTGAAGTCTTGTGTGTTCTGTCAGACATACAGCAGTGGCCGGAACGTTCGTTTTCTCTCTTTCTCAAGCCAGTCTGACAAGAGGACGCTGGTGGGTGTAGGAGGCGCTGCTGCTGACGGGGGCTCCTCCCTGAGCCTACCTCACAACAAGACTGTGGGCTTCAAAGAAGACCTTAAGAATAGGGAAACCCCGTCTGCTTATTCATTGAACATGCATTGGCCTGTATTGTGCCATGCTGTGTAGATGGAGGGACAAGTCGGCCCCTACCCAGTCCTCAAAGCTTGTAACTCCAGGGCACAAAACTGGCACGTGGGCCAGAGAGCTTACGTAGTAAGTCGTCGACCCTGTTACCCTCCTCCAAGATTAAAAACCCAAGAAGAAGTGCTGTCCTTGAAACGAGGTGCTTAATTTTTCTTATTTACGGGTCTCAGGTGCGGACTGATAGCTCCCACCTTTCCTGGGAGGCTGAGTGTTGTCAACTTCCCGTCACAAGTTCCCCTGTTTCTTATGCCCTGTTACATTTTGTGTGGCTTAATCAATGTAGTATGCAGGCTGTTATCATTTTTTAATTAATATTGAACTGTTGCAGAGGAAATTGGAGCTACCCCCACTTAACACCTTCTTAGGCGTTCCTCCTGGTAGTTATCAAGCTGTTTTTATTCTTGGAGATAGTGTATTTTCAGGCACATCTTACTGAGCTCTTCGTTGCTTTGGCCCCATGGTTGTCAGTGTGGTCCTTGGGTCAGCAGCGCCCCCGAGAACGGGCTAGCAATGCATATGCTTAGGCCCCACCCCTGGCTGCTGAAGCATTTAGAGGAAAGTGTACTGCAATTTACTTTGCAGTGCATCCAAACTACAAATAAACTGATGCATGAGTCGAGAGAGGGATAGAGAATCCAATAAAATATGAATGGAAGGTACATGAATTGAGGGAATTAGTCTGTATTGTCAGGATCTGTTCAGGTTTGGTGGTGACATTTGCTGTCCTTTTTCAGTAAACTGTCCTCAGAGCGGATGAGTTACTGTTCATAGCAGAAGGTATAGTGTCTGGATGCCTGGTTACAAGTGACAAATCTAATTCTAGCTCCTTTGAGCGAAGGGGAGGGTCTGCTGACGCGTGGAATCCAAGGAAGGATTGAAGGGACCAACGGTGAGAGGGCAGCGCTGCACTGGACCAGGCCTGCCCCAGCCGCGCTGTCCTGCACCCCTGTTCTTTATAACCTTCACTGTCGGCAGAGCAGAGTCATCCACTCGGTGACCAGTATCTCTTGATTACATCTTATAGCTTCTTCCTCTAGAAAGGGGCTCTCAGCTCCAGTTTAAAAAATCCCGGGGATGGGGGTCAGCCAGGAGAACGTGACACCCACTGCCCTGCCCATGTGAAGAAGGAATGATGGTTACCAGGAAAAAGGAGTTGCTAGGCAGATAGTACCTGGGTGTCTGTGAAGTTTACTTCCCACTCATCTCCCTGCCTCCTCTTTCCAGGTTTAGTGGAGTCTTGATGTCTGTGAGTCAGTGTTCTTGGCCTTTTGGAAGAGCCCGCTCATGGAGTTAAGGCCTACTGATTCTTTTGTCGATTTCATGTATCTGACGTTGCAAACTTGGGCCACAGTAACACTGCTTCAGAAACCAAATCTCAGTGGCTTAGAACAAGCACTGTTCTCATGCTGATAGGGCTGCAGGTCAGCTAAGGTTCAGCTGGTCGCAATGGTCTTCAGCTGGGAGGCTTAGCTGCAGGTTGCAGACGGCATGGGCTGGGGTCCGAGCTGTGGGTTGAGGTTGGGTCAGTTGCACATGCAGTCATCCTAGGTCCCAGGCTGACGGGGCAGGAGCTGGCTACCCAGGACATCAGAGCATAACAGCCAAGCCAGACAGTGCAGCCACATGTATGGTGTCTGTACTAACATTCCACTGACCAGAGCACATCACTTGCTCAACTCGGCATCACTGGGGTAGAGAAGCATCCTCTGCCGGCAGGGGTGGGGGCGTGGGGGTGGGGAGTGAGGTGCTAAACAGCAGTGTGCACCATTAACCAGGTTTGGGGAGAGCAGCTGAGAGCACCAGAAGCTTCCGAAGGCTCAGAACACGCATTCCTGGTGTTTACCGAGTTCCTTCTAATTTTGTTCTCCTAATCCCAGTTGGGTCTAGAACCAGAGACATTTAAGACCATTAAGTGCCCTCGGCTCCTTGGACTTCAGTTTTGCTTCCTCTGAGCCTTTCCCAGTGTTGCACGGGCTTTGGTTTCAGTCCCCATTCTCACGTCATGCTGAGATTTGACTGGCCCTTCGTTCTAGGCAGAGGGCCCTCCTGAGCCCTTGTTTGCTGCCGGGAAGCCCTGCAAGGTAAGCAGGGCAGTAATACTAGTTTTCCAGGTGGAAGCAACAGACTGAGCGGCTTGGGGCTTGTTGAAAGTCGGAGAGCTAGTAAGCAATGGAGCCGGTCTGGAACCCAGCTCCTCTGATTCGGAACCAGCCTGGGCCTGACCTTGGCTGTGCCATGTGGGCAAGTTGTTTACTTTTTGAGCCTAAATTTCTAACCTTTAAAAGGGAGCCAGGACCTGAGAGCTAACACAGCCACCTCACTCATGGTTACTTGAAAAGTAAATGGGATAATGACAGCATCTGGCATTGTGCCCACCCACCATACAGTGGGCACTGGTGTTAGCCAGGAACCCGTGCTCTGCCGGACTGCGTGGTGAGCTTCACGGCCACCATGAAGTGGTCTGAGGATTTGAAAATTGGTGTTTCTATGAAAAGCAGTGTTTTGAATGACTGATTACCACTTTGATCCATGTAACTTCTGACTTTGCCCCTTCTTTTTAATATTTTAGCCAGCTTACCAAAACCTGAGGCAGAAAGTGGATAATTTTGTGTCAACACATCTGGACAAGCAGGAGTGGAATCCTACGATGAACAAAAACCAATTGCGAAATGGTCTGAGGCAGAGTGTGGTCCAGTAAGTAAGCGGAACTGAGAGCGGAAAGGCAGTTGTCACCATCGTGACTCACGAGCAGGCCGGTGTGAGTCACAGCTTGGTCAGGGTGGCCAGTGCTGCATAGCTGGGACCACGCACGAGGCGCAGGAGACCGCACCTGTGTTAAGGTTAGGTTCCCGTAAGCCAAGGACTCCGCTGAAATTCTGGCCGGTGTCTCCAGCCTGTATCGGCTTGCTGTGCACGTCTCCCCCAGGCGCCTCGGAAGAGCTTCCAGACGGTTAGGCCTGATCTCTGCTCTGTGATGTCGGTGTGGTCTGAACCCCTGTGGGAGTTTTATACCCGGGTAGCAACGTTTGGATGTTGGGCACAAGGAGCTCGGTCTTGATTCTCTCAAGTGAATGCCTAGTTTTACCACTTGTGTAAAATTTCCTGCCCTCTGATTGGATCTAGAATGTATTTAACCTGAAACACGAATTTGGACTTAATACTGAGACATTTCTCTGATGCTTGCTAACATTTTGAATCCGAAGCAAATTCCAGTGCAGTTCTGAAAGGAAGGTTTTCTCTGGAAGCCTGGCGCTCTCCCTGCTGCGACCTGCGGCCCTCAGTGCCGGTTTGCTGGTGCGCTGACCCGGCCGTTCAGGCCCAGAAGCCGTCCCTGTTCCACAGCGTGGAGGCTTCCCAGGAATCGGGCTCTGCTGTTGCACCTCACTGTGACCCACAGTCTTTCCACTCATGACATCTGCTCGTTTCCCTGGGTTCCAGGCTCCCGACAAGATCTCACGTTCCCCTCAGACACCTTTCCAGTGTCCAGGAAAGGGAGCTGCACTTTCTTCCTTCTTTGCTCTCCCTGATTGGCCTCTTCATCCCATGAAGACCCCTGTGACTCTGACTCGGGAAGTGGAGGGCGTAGCTGGAAAGTGGCTTGTGCCTGAGGAGGGGTGGCTTTGCTTCCTGATGAGCACGGCCTGATGCTGACCTCTGTGTGTCACGTGCTCATCTCTGAGGGCAGGCAGTGGGATGTGGGTTGTGGGTCTCCCCGAAAGTGCCCCTGTACTCTGTGGCCCTGTGTCAACATTGAGGCTTCCTGTTGATATGCTGGTGATCACCCCTGAATGCAGGGAGCATCTCCGTCACCATCCAGCCTAAGCAGCTCAGGGCCTGTTTCTCGTCTCACTGGGCGCTGTGTGCATTCACTCACCTGTTTCCTTTTCCTGCCGCCACCTGCCCACTGACTGCAGGACCTGTTTTTACCCAAGCAAAGGTTTGAATGGCCCAAGAACTCCCAAGCCTAAAAGACAATGAGTGAAACCTACCCGTGTGCTTATGATGGATATGAATAGTTTAATCCTTCGAGAAGAGCACTTCAGTTTGAACCTATATAGACTCTCTTCCAAACTTTCAAATGTGATGTGTTTCCTGTCAACGTAATCTTCCTCACTACCCTATCCCAAGTGTTTGACTTGGCCTAATTTTTGCTCTACTTCAAAAAGGATCTGGGGTGTATTTTAGCCCCTTAGGAGCCTAGAACCAATTTGTTTCTTGTCTGTGTACTTGTTTGCTTCCAAGTTACCTAGTGTGTGTTAGGTGACAGTCACAGCTGAAGGCCAGGGGGATTGCTGGTGACGTAAGCGCTCCCTGCCCTGACGGGTTGGAGTTGTACCAGGGGACTTGAGGCCAGAGTGCTACTGCAGGTCACTTCGGCTCTGGCTGGTCAGAGAATATTGTTGAAGGAAGTGGAGTCAAGGCCAAGGCTCGCTGGCTTTGACAGTGAGATCAAGGTTTTCAGCTCTACCCGTCATCAAGTTCTTTCCTACCATGTTGTCACTTGTTCTTTGTCTTTGGGACAGGCTGCTTAGTTTTGCTTGGTTCTTTGTACAAGGTTGAGGTAGTAGTGGGTGAGATTATAAGTTAGGAATAATATGGTAGTGGATTGCCCCCGGAAGTAAAAATATAATAGCTTGAACTCTGTGTAAATGGATCTCCCTCTGAAAGAACTCGCTAGAGCGGCTGTAGCTTTGACCGGGTGAATGCTTATTGGGCTCGCACTTACACTGGTGGGGGACTAAAGAGTCTCAGAGGAACCAAATAACAGAATGATCTCTTTGTCTCCACAAGGTCGGGGATGTTGGAAGCAGGAGTGGACAGAATAATTTCTCAGGTGGTGGACCCCAAACTAAACCACATCTTCAGGCCCCAGATAGAAAGAGCGATTCATGAGTTCCTGGCGGCCAAGAAAAAAGCAGCGGCGCCGGCGCCCCCTGCAGAGCCGGAAGGCCAGGACCCTGCAGCCCCGTCCCAGGATGCGTCCTAAGGTCTGGTGTCCCGTCATTTGCCCAGGAGCATTCGTCTCTGACTTGTAGATAAGTGACATGCATAGAAAAGGGGTAAGCCGTTATTGGTGATCATCCTAGTCCTTGTCTATTCAGAAAAGTATTCGCGCAGATGCACTTCACCTACTGCTTAAGAGGCATCTTTCTACTGCGAACTAATTAGCATTTTCCTGTCAGTGAGTGTGAGTTTCTCTTGCAGCAAAGCAAAACATTTAGGCTCTGAATAGATGCTTCATTAGAGACCAGCTAAGATGGTCGGTGTGCTCAGGGAAATTCAAAAGAAAGTCTCATTTTTCTGAAATCGCTTAAATGAGTCTCGCCCCTGGACAGGAGTTAAACTTGGGTTTGCAATTTGGGTATAAAATCAAACAACACATTCTAAGCTGGCATCATCCTAAATGGGACCCGAAGTCTGCTTTAAGCCCTGTTGGGTTTCCTTGTATTTATAGGGATTTGAGTTGACCACTGTCAGTTCTCATAGGTCTTCTATTATACATACGCCCTTGTTTTACATTTGGAATTTAATTTTAAAAATCAGCTGTAGATGCACAAAACAGTGCTTTTTGCAGGGTTTGGGAGGCGTTAGTAAATATAAGCAGTGACCAGCAAGTACGAGGAAGCAGCGGACTCCCACTTAGCCGGTGGTAGTAACCACTGGCATTGCCTTATCCCCTCTTCTACTTTGTGTCCTGTTTGTACGATTCTCCAGGATGTCTGTTATTTTTGATAAGCGTCAGCGCGTGAACAAGGCAGGAGCATCAGGCTGGCGTGGGCACTCACTCAGAAGAGGGGTTGTCTTTTTGTGCCTGTGGGAAAAGGCCTCGGTGCCATTAAGGAGTGTAAAACATTCATTTCAAGTCTTTCGGGTTTCGTTGTAAACTCCTTTAGGATCATAAAATTAAGTAAATGTAGTCCTTTATCAGTAAGCATTTTGATACGATTCTCTTTCTTTTAGAATATGGCTGACATCTTCTGGAAACTCTTGAATTAGCAGTGAAGAAATGGATTTGGTTCATAATGGTACAACTTCAGAATGAAGACAGGCCGAGGTCGTCACTGATTGCAGCCTGGACTTTGGGGCAGGGTCCAGATTGAACAGGGAGCAAGTCTGACCTGTGTGCCCTGCATTGTGCTGCCCTCTAGCCAGCCTGTCTGCAGGGATGACACCCAGTAGACACTACAGCGATCTATAGAAACACTACATCAACCTGGTGTTGTCCAGAGACAAACCTTGATACTTGAACTTGGAGGAGCATGTGATTTTGGGGTTTGTGCTGGGGAATGAAAAAAGCTCCAGTAAAGGAACATAACCAGTCTCAAAGATGCAATTTCTTGGAATGACAGTAAAGGTTAGCTGAGAGCAAATTTTGACAGTGCGTATTTGATACAGTTTCTCAATTACAAACTGTAATAGAATGCACAAGCCACTAGCATCGAATAGCTTTAAGTTGTTGTGACCCTGTTGTACATGAATCTTGTAGCTTTAGTTTCTTTTCCCTAAGAGGTGACAAAACAGGGGACCCAGAATGCATGAGGAGCCTCAGACATTAGATTAAAGGAAACGTTTGCAGGCTCTCTGTCCAGGATAGGCAGTCTTGGGTGTGTTTATTTTGTTCCCATGTTTGTGGTTTTTAGAAAAGTGAATGATTAATAAGTAGCTTAAGTTTTATAATAAAATCTTTTGAAACTCTTGCTCTGAAGCTTCAACTGAATAATAGACCCCGGGGTGTGAAAGGAACCTTCTTCCTCTGCCTGCACGCCACTCCTGTGCACATGACTTCCTGGTGGTGACGGCCGGCAGACAGAACTTGGAACTGCCTTGGCCCTGAAGCCAGCCGGCGGAGCCGGACGTGGGCAGGCAGCTCCCCTCCCTTGACCATCGCTGACGCGGGGCTTTAGTCGAGGGCCGCGCACTATGCTCGTGTTGCTCAGACTTGAATGTGCGTGAGGACCACAGGGGGATCATGGGAAAACGCATGTTCTGACTGAAGATGAGCAGTGGGACCTGAGGACGTAACAAGCTCCGGGGACACCGCTGGCCCTCCAGACACTTGGTACCCCAAGCCTCGGGTCATGTCAGAGGTCCCTTCAGACTAAGAGCCTTGGTTCTTAGTTGAGTCCACTACTGGATATTGTTAATCTTATAAATTATAACCTATAGGAAGTCCTCACTTAACACTGTTGCTAGGTTCTTGAAAACTGACTTTAAGCGAAACGACATAACAAAACCCATTTTACCATTGGCTAATAATTGATATAAACAGGACTTAAGTTGCCATGGCATATCTCTGGTCATAAAAACATCACCAAGCTACTAAAGACCCAAAACACGTCTAATATTAAAAACTGAAATAATTGTCAGCCATATATACATTTAAGAAGGATGACTAAAACCAACATCATTATTTTCCAACCTGCTTAGTCCAATTCACGGTCAAAGGTGGCCTGAACCTGTCCTGGCAGCTCAGGGTACAAAGCAGGACCCACCCTGGACAGGACGCCCTTCCATGGCAGGGCCACGCACATACACACACACTTTGTCTGGGAGACTTCAGAGGCACCAGTGAACCTCACATGTACATCTTTGGGATGTGGGAGGAACCCAGAGACGACCCATGTGGACGTGGAGAGAACGTGCCAGCCCCCCACACACAGTGGTCCTGGCTAGGCACTGGATTTTTTTTTTTTTTTTTTGCTTATCAACATTTCAACAAAATGACATTCTTTAAAGGCCTGCTGTATTTGGTTGGTTTCCTGTTAAACCACTTCCACCTTTTCCATCAGTACCCCTAAATTAGGACTGCCCTGCCATATGCAGGTGGCGGTGCCATCAAGGGTGCCCGCTTCCCACCTCCTGAGGGGCGCAGTTCCATTTCCAGCTGAAACAGGTTGCTGGCCCTTCCAGCTTAGGATTCAGCAACCAGAGGCGAAGGGGCCCTCTAGTCTCTTCACTCAACTAACAGACGTCAGTGACTGGCCTTACCAGTCTATACCTGGCAAAGAACTTTCTCAGACTAACTGGGGTCCCCTCTTCAAGACCAAGGGCCTTCGCGTGTCCTCTAGGGGGGAGTTCTGCAGAGCTCTATCTGGTGACTGCCCCCACCCCAACATCCTGCCCCTCCAGCACAGACCTCAACGCAGCCACAAACTGCAAAACAGCAGCCCAGAGAAGCCATATTTTCTGCCCAGTTGACTACATTTTGTGTAATTTTGGGCAGAGTCAAGACAAACGCGCTAGGGGGGCTAGGAGCCAACAGCCAGCCTCTGCCCCCCCCCCCTTGGGAACTGGTCACCTGCCACGTCAGTGAGGTCCTCATGCTTCAGGTATGAGGTTAGGCAAGCACAGCTTAGAAGAACCATGTGTGTTCTCAGCTGAAGAACAATGGCTCCCTGAGGAAGACAAGGCCACCAAAAGTACTTTGCCCCAAAACACCCTTGCTGTGTTCATTCCTAAACAAACTAGTCACAGACCTCAAGGCTTCTCTCCCTAACGCTGGAAAAACCGCTGCCGTTTGCGAAGGCCCAGTGCAGCACAGAACTGGCCTCTGTAAGACAACAAATAGTACCAACCTTTAAAAACCATCAAGGCCTTAGAGGCCTGAGGACGCTCATTTAAGAGCCCCATGCTGGTTTTTGAAGTCCCGTTCTTCTGCCTGGAGCAGCGTCTGCAGGAGACCACTGCCTCTGGCATGTTGCCAGTTACCAACCTACATGCTCGACTGGCTGTGTCAGCCCACCTTCCCCACCCCGTCAGGCCTTGCCTTACCTCTTTCCTGCTCTATGTGAACCTTGTGGATCCTCCTTCAGACTTTCAGGCTTGTTTCATCCTGTCTCTGCCTTTTAGCCTTAGCTTCTGTGTACTCCTCAGCGTGCAGGGGGCCCGGGCATCCTGGGAATGGGAACTGAATAAAAACCACCGTCCAGCACGGCAGTGCTTCTAAAAGCATGACCCCCCAGCCAGCGGCACCAGCAACACGGAACTCGCTAGCAATGCAGTCCTCACCCCAGACCCGCTGATTCAGAGACAGGGAAGGGCCTACGCACCCTCCAGGTGGTCCTGATACACTGAAAATCCTTCTCCCAGGGCCATTCTGGAAAGCCGGCCATGTTGACAGGTAATGACAGCTTAATTATAATTAGTGGTTAACGTGTCTCTTCTAACAGCTCCTGAGGGGCAATGCTATCGTTTATCATCAGCACCATCGTTATTATTATTGTCCCATCAGTCCCTTGCAAGGACTGTGCTTATGGACATCGTGACATAGAAATGTCTGCACGTAACAAACCTCCTAAGCTTCCAAAAGCGATACGCCGTCTTTTGAAGGCGAGTCTCCTAAGCAGCTCAGAACCCTGCGGGGAACTCTGCAGAAAGGCTTTCATTGGCTGTTAAATTAAAGCCAGAGGAGAGATGCCAGTGGGGACCCAGCAGAGTCAGGCCTGCCTTGTGCCGGAGGCTGGCACTGAGGGTTGAGTTTAAACACTGTGCCTGGATCAGCCCGGCAGGGGGCCAGGCCCTGCCTTCCGTGGCTGCCCTCAGGGTGCTGGGGACAGAGTGTGAAGCAGACAGGAACGCTGGCGCAGCCCAGCTTTCGTTGGCACAGTCCATCACCCTCCCCATGGAGGAGCCAGGAGGTCCACTTTTATGGTCTTGTCACTGTGGCTCCAAGACCACGTGGTCTTCTCACATTGGTCACATCGCCCAAGACCTCGCCAGTCTGCCTGCGGTCTCCAAACTGCCATGTGGCCCTCCTTCCTGAAACAGTGTTTGTATCACATAGCTAGGCCCCCACCAGGGGACAGACATTTTCTTTTCTTTCTTTCTTTTTTTTTTTTTAAAGAAACATTTATCAGGGAGCCTCTCTGGACGCGGTGGGAGTGGAGGCTGACGCTGTGGACTTCCACAGCGCTGTGCAAGAATTTACAATATATGTCCATTCCAAGTTGTAATAAGAGTCTTTTTTCCCCCAGTTAAAAGACCATCAACGTCCCTGGAAGTGAGGCTGGAGGTGGAGATGGGCCTCGGTCGGCTAAGGGTCACAGGAAGCTAACCGGGTCCCCACCCCACCTGCCTGCCTCAGTGTCCCTGCTGTGTGGAGGTAGCAGACATTTCCTTACGGACAATTTCACTTAATTCCCATGCCCCTGTCAGGTGGGATTTGTTCTCCATTTTACGGCCGAGGAAACCAAGACTCAGCGAGGGAGCACTCTGCTCTTTATGCAACTGTTAAGAGGAGCAAGGTTTGAACCCAGGCCCCTCTGAGTTCAAAGCCCAGGATTTGTCTTCCCCCTTCGCTACTGTGCTCCGTATTAACAGAACAAGTTCAGTCCAAGTTCAGTCCTCTGGGGTCCACCCTTCACTCCACACGCAGGCCCCCATCAGAGCAGCGTGGCCTCCGTCCACATCCCAGCACACGGCCTTAGTCCCCCCAGCCTTGCTCCCCCACGCAGACAGTATCAAGGGAAGGGTTTGCAAACTGACAGGCTGTCTGCTCTGTCCTCTAGCCAAGTTCTGTGGCCATGGACGTGTGATTGCTCTTGTTTTGGTTTCAGTTAATGACCAGTGTATTAAAACAGGGCACCTTCCTTACAGATCTGTAGTTCTGGCCCCTAACGAGGCCACCCCAAGATACGCCACTTTGGTACATGGATGATTTTGAGCTGCAGGCACTTAAGAAACAGCAAATACACAGAGTGGCTTTCTCACCTGCCTGAAGACAGATCCTCCAAAAGGAACTTGGTTGTCATCAGTCCCTTTTCTGGGAGTTTTATCACCCAGGGAAGATGGACTCTTATCACAGGCAAGGAGGCTAGCCATACACACCACACCCAGACAAACTGTGTCGCAAACCATACCACCCATCTATTCTTCAAGAGCCCATTCGCCTTTCCCCAAAATCATTTACTCTCCCAGAAGAGGCCTACGTCTCCGCTCCCTTCTCCCTATAAAGATGATATTTAAGCCAGAGTCCTAAGTCACCTCGAAGAGTCACCCATTTTCCCCTGGGTATCTCCCACCTGTACAGGAGGGATACATGTTAATAAACTTCTGTTTGTTTTCCTCTTGTTCATGTTTTTCTCTTGTGAATCTGTCTTTTATTACTGGAGTCTCAGGTAAGCACTCAGAAGGGTGGAGGGAAGTTATATTTCCTCCCCTAAAGAGCAATAGATTGGCTAAAGTAGAGAAGTCAAACCAATATCAGAGCGGCTGAATGTGGTAAAAACTTATGTAGCACTCTTATGGGAGCAGCAATTGGGTTAAATCTTGAGTCTATGGGGCTGCTGTGCAAAATTTAAGTGTTACGTGTTTTTTTTTTGCCCCTGGGCCATTTTGTCCCCCTGAAAAGTTTGCCTGGGCATGACATCCTTAATCTCTTCACTGCATGAGGGCCTTTGTCACATCAGGCTTCTCTGCATTAGTTTCTTGCTGTTTGGGGCCCCTGATCAGCTTACTTACCCAGCATTGCAAGTCCTTGCATAGCTGGGCTCGCCTGCTGCCTTTCATTCCTGCTTACACACTGGAACACTCTCTCTGAGCTCACCTCTTTCTTGCAAAGCCTTGGAAATACAGGCAATCGCACCATAACATGCCGCCAACGTTCCATTTTCCAGCCTCTCCCGAGAGCCACAAGTTCACGAGGCCCATCATTTGCCCCCGAGTTACAGCTGTCCGCTCCATACAACCTGGTGTGTCCC